ATGAAGTGTTAGTACGCGGCCGAACTTGTATTACTGCATCATGTTAGGAAGCTGCTATGTAAAACCCAACATGGATAAGCCCCATGTGCTTATCTCTTTCAATGTACTTGTGGTAGCAAGTACGTGGGCCAAACGAAGAGACGGCTGTCGACCAACGTGGTCCTAGACTGCTGATTAGCTCTATAGCTCGGTAACCTAAGCTGCTCTATATGCCTAAATCCCTGCGAATCGATTAGGATAATTAACCGACAGAGCAATGCTTCAGGTTGCCGACGCCTCAGTAATTCGATAGCTGAAATCAAATTTGTACAAACAGACAGTTTATGACCCGTCTCGCGTTGCCTTGGTAAGGTTTCTTGCTCGTTTCAAACTTAAATTGAATGACCTAGAGCGTTGTTACCTTGTATATGCAACATGATAATTCCACGGGCCGTATAGTAACAGCTGACGAGAGTATACAAGGTATATAAATTCAGAACATGCTGTTACAATTGTGTTCCTTCTTGCTATCTTTAACGTCCAAAGTGTGCCCGATGCGGAGTTACCTACGGGGCACTCGCCGATTGTAACGCAGAGAGTGAAAGACGCAAGATAGCTATTTTGCGGATGACACCTTATTATTGCATGGTAGCTGTTAAGGGACGTAAACCTTAACGAAATCGATGGATTCAACGTCGAGCAATCCAGCTAGAAGATGATTGAGTTGTCTCACGACCATGACTCCAGTTCAGCCAACGACATTTCGCCACATTGACTGCTTCAAGGTGAGTTGGTAAAAGGACTTTATGAGACTATAAAATTGTATCCTGTGTACCTCATTTGTCTTCTCGGAAGAGAGGCCATTGCAACGTCTCCTGACTTCTGTTTTGAGACGAGCCCCTAAGTTTGGAGGTCAGTACATTTGCGTTACATAGAAGTCCACAACAGATGTTGCTGGCGACTGGGAAAGATTGTGAATAGTTCCCAAAGATGACACTTTCGATGGAAGAGCTCAGCTTGATCCTGAAGCGGCAACGGAAGTGATTTGAGGGATCACAATCGCGAATTATCGAAACGCTGTCGCATAAATCGAATAGCTGACCTTCCTCAACTGACAGAAAGCAGTCATCCATGAATGCAAGTTCAGCAACCATCACAGAATTCAGCCATCGGAACCCGGAGCGCGAAATAACGGGGTTGAGCGCTTCACTCGCTCTTCCTGTACAAAACACATGCTCATTGCTCACGCGGCGTTCCCACCAGACATGAGGTAGGCTGCGAAGGAAGCGATGATCGAAAGTAACTAGCCTCTTTATGTCCGTCAAATTGATTGACCAAGTTTTGCAACTGTACAAGTGGGTTGAACGGACGGCTGCATTGTAAACATTGTCGTTCAGAACGACAGTGATGTCGCGCCAGCGCCACAGAAGGCGAAAATTGGCAAAATGACCTCGAGGTTTTGTTATACCGTTTGTGATCTCATCTTCCACTCCACTGGCGCTGATAAAGCTGCCTAGATATTTGAGTTTCTCCATCACATCTGGCTGATCACCACCAAGAGTCAGCGCAAGGATGGGTCCCAGTTAATCGTGGCGAAAGACTTTACATTTCGACGGTGCAAATCATAGCCAGAAACAACTGATAGTCAATGCTAAGTGCTCCAGTCCTACTTGGCACATTTGGGATCTGTCACAGATAAGGGCAGTGTCGTCAGCATACTCCAAGTAAAGAAGCCGATCACCTGGGGAGCAGCTCCACATCTTGCAGTCGTGTTCAGGGAACGTAGTCTCGATGACTTCATCAATGGAGAATTTAAAAAAGAGAAGTGATAGCGGCCAACTTTGGCCCACAGCGCTGGATATTAAAGAGCGACGACAGCATGTCGTAAGACCTCACTCCGCCCGAACTATGCGCGTGCAGCGTTCTGATAGAGTTTACGCCTTCTTCGGGCACACCTTTCCTGAGTAGACAATACAAAAGGGCAGATCGATCAACCTTTCATGCCAAGGAACACGACTACAGTGGCTCGTCAATAGATAGAGTGGTGCTCCAACAATTGACTTCGACGAAACCCAGCTTGCTCCTAACGAATCTGACTTTCACAGATGCCAGCAAGTCTATGAAAAAAAGATAAAAAGGAGTATCTCATACGTAATTGAGATCAGGCTGATAACTTTATTAGTGTCGCATTCACAACGTGAGCCATCTTGGAATTTGAGACAATAACGGAGCGGCTCCAGTCTGGTGGGAAAGTTTCCTGCTCCCATAACTTCCCAAGTAAGTTGTACAGATCATCAACAAGAGTTGATCCCCCAAAGTTGAAGACGGTTGGAGGAAGTCTATATGCTTTGGCGACCTTATTCACCTTCGACTTCTGTGCGTGAAGGCGCGTCCAGGGAGACGGCCCAGAGAGAACAGCGATCAGTGGCCGATCAGTGGCCAAGTGTTATACTCTCGCCACGTAGGTCTCGTAAACACCACGTCTCCTTCTGCCTGATTCACATAGCAGACGGAATAACTTACAATGGTTACCAACGGCAGCAGATATTTCCATCTCTGATGTACGATGAGACCACTGGGCTTCGTGGTCTTTTTCCAAGCTAGCAGCAAATTTCGCCATGAGGTCTGTGCGAGTCTCGCTGTGTTTTCTCCCAATCGAAATGTGTCCGCGAGCAATCAGAAGTTCCAAAGACTGCATAAAAACCCAATGTCAAAGTTGGCGATCTGATTTGCCACATAAAGAAATGCTTGCTGCTAAGAACGTCTGGTAGATATGCAACAGTGGCTCTCTAGTGTGTTCAGGGAGCGCTTACTCAGGTCGGATACCAGCGTACTTCGATATGCATTTAGAACATTTGGCTTGGCTAGCCGGTAACTATCTATATGATCACAGCGTCGCCGCATGTGACCATCGAAGCGGACTGTAAGATCGGAAGAAACGAGTGCGTGGTCAGAGTCCAAGCTCTTGCTGCAAATCGAGCGCTAATTTTGGACACAGTCCCTCCAGCGGTAACGAATGTTAGCTTAGGGCATTTAGGTTTTAGGCTAGGTCTTCTTTCTATCCCCCTTATCATTCTTCGTTGAGTAGATCATTGTTGTTGTACGGCAGCAAATCATCAACCCAAATAGCTCAGGTACTGCTGTTGTTGTTGCCGTCAATGTTATTTTGTTGGATAGCCATTAAACTTTTTTCGAACATGGCAAGAAACCGTGCAGTTTTACACCTTTTTCGATGGCGGAGGAGTCCATGGCGCGTCTATGCGTGATGTGGCGGGATACTAACAGATCGTTGACCTGCTGCTCCCAATGTCGTGCCGTGGACTCATGTCCTGGACGCCTCTGCGTGGTGGCCGCTGGGCGGGAGTTGGTTTACACATTTCTTCTAGCTAAGATTCAGGACAACTTTCGAGTTAGTCTATTCACTAACCCATGGCGCAAGACCTGCTACTTGTCGGGAGTACATCTGATCGAAGGCTTAGGCAAAGGACCCGAGTCGTTCTCCTGTCAAGGGTGGAGGCCCTGGCAGCATATCAGTACAAAAAAGTAACCATGAATCATGCAAATATTTCAGGTGTTAGGGATTAAAGGCAGTTAAGTGACTCCATTGGCGTGAGCTTATTAACAGGGCGGTTGCTCAGGTGGATGAGAAACATTGGTGTATGCAGAAGAGAAACGTCAATTGAGAAAGCGACAGGCGCCGATGGATTCTAGCCCATCTACGTCAAGCGTATGGTGCTGTAGCATATGCGGTCGGGAGTGGTGCTTCAACCAAGTCGGATTGGTAAGCCATCAGAGTCCCCACGCGTGTGCAACAGCGAAGAGACGACGAAAAAGCTGAGTTGGTGCTGGTCATTAGCGCAGCTTTTCCGTTCAGGTTCATTAACCAGGGCATTTGTAGAAGAATCCCGAGTGTCCCATTCAGTGATAACTTCATCCTGCTTAACGATCCACTGACTGGGATTCCGTCAACCATTTACCCAACTCGTTTCTTTGTCCTAAATCTTTTTGTCTCTCTGACTCAATGTACACTAATTTCCTGATGAAACAAGGTCGACCTACATTCAATCGCATGTTTGGTCTATTTTCTAACTCTAGAACGAACTCCACTACCGCTTCACATAGTAACGCCCGGTGAACTATGATGTCTCATTCTCTATCCTTTGTGATCACATTACCTCGTATTGCATGTGTGACCTGTCAGTAGTGCACTGTCTGGTCCACTTAATTTCCCAGTTAAACAGGAATGCTGTTGCTGTGTATGCTGACGGAATGTAGGCCGGATCCGTTGATGAAACGTGGCTCCCATTCACATGCCTCCCGGTCCTGTTACTTCAGGTTTACACCGGATATGGGGTGTGTGGATGGAGCTGTGTGTGGTGCAGCACAAGCTACTCAGGGACCCTGTGTAGGTTCAGACGTCCTGTGATTGTCTGCATGAAGGCCGCAGTGACAAGCAAATCCGGAATCAGATGCCGCAAACAATGTATATCGCGACTCTCAAGTATCATGGTCCCCAACGAACGACCGCTGTTCGAATAGCGGCCAGTTGTCTGTGTCAGGGGTGACGATGATAGTCGGTGCCAGTTACACTATCATGTAGTGGAGAGCATCCCATATTTTGGCACAAGCGGTCATCATGGGTGGAGAAGGGTTAATTCTGAGAGAAGTGTGCGAGAGTAAAGTGTGAAGAAAGAACAGCGATTAAAGTGCAAAGCCACTATTTGTTCGGTAAATTTGTGGTCCAAGGGATGCGGACAATTAGGCGCTAAGAGTGGAAAAATAATATTCAGCGGAAGCGGTTCGCGTTTCATTGCACACCGTAAGATCTAGAATGCACAATTCAGAAAATAGTCATGTAGCTGCATGTAGGAACTTGAAGCTCGAAAGGATACAAGACAAAATATGTATCATATATCGATAACGTAGCTCGGCAAGATAAACTCGGCTCTGGTTCCCGACTCTTGAATAGCGAGAGAGAGAGATAAGCACATGTAGATGAACCTGTGTAGACAAATGCTTACTCGCATGATGACATCCGGGGGAATGCAATGGCATAATAGTTCGTACAACCTAGTACGGACTTCCAAAATTCTGTAAAAAGAATGAAAATAGTACGCGTTATAGAAGAATTCAGATGAAAAAAAGCATTCTCATCATGTGAGAGTGCCGAAGATGGGAATGGACAGTGGAGTGGTATATGAAGTGGCGGAAAAAAATGAGCGGAGAAAGTGATGTATTGAGGCCCGGCACATAAAGCAAATTAAGCAAAAACAACCCCGCAGCCGATTCCCATGCTACTCTGTGTGGCCATCAGGTAAATGAGAGAAACAGGTGACCAAACCACAATCTCCAAGTCAGACTGCTGAAATAGTGTGCGCCACCATGGTGAAACAAGGAACAGTGACTTTATTTAATGGAAGTCATAGCGGCTAAGTGGTAGCGTTGTTAAAAAGACATGGGGAGGGAGAGCCGAAAACCCACCACACCCTGGAACACTGTCGCCAAGTGATGGAAAAAGTTATCACTGCAATTAAGCACAAGTGAGAACTTTTCCACATTTCGATCTGTTCATTTCATATTTAGCTTGATTAAACTTTTCGGCCTTCAGCATCCGCCAAGTGCACTTATGGAATCCGGCCTGAACAACACAACAAGTTTTCCAATCTATTACTTATTACATAGTTGTAAAGTAGACCAATCGGTCAACAGACGTGGTTCAACGTTTGTTGATCGTACACATTTTGCGCACTTTCACGCATTGCTTCACTACGCAACCTGTGTGGTGGACAATAAGGACAATGTGGTGACGCGTTTGGAAGAGCGCGCAACCAAGATTGTAACTCTGATTGTTCGCGAATATGCTTATAAAGTTGCCGATCCCTGTAGAAATTCATCGCTCGAGTCTTCCGAACGGACTTTGTCGCATACCAGGATTACGAACATACAAGCATGTCGAAGAAAAATGATGAATACGACTAACTGGCTGTTGTCTGTTAGTAGCGACCTCCCTGTTGAACCCACACGAATCACACCAAATGCGGCTCGGGGTATCTTAACATCTGTATAGCCACGCGCACTAATAGTACATCTGCGGTGCTCATCTGTGTCCTAGGTAAGGTCGACTGTGAGACGAAACAGAGGAAATTGTTCCGTCCGATGGTACTGATGAGGTGTACGTGTCTAGATGTTGTATAGTTGTGTAATCATAATGAGTGTGTAGCGGAGAGGCAGTACAATAATATCACTGGTAATGATCCTGATCATGCACATGATTATCAAAATTGCTCCAAAATATCCAAGAAAGTCCAGAGGTAAGGAATAATTACACGAGAAAAACCTAAATGTTCTAAGCGTACATTAGGAATCAGGGAGCCAAGAGATTGCGAAAAGTCATTGAGGGTCAGTTATCGTGTGGAGACAACATGTTATCGAAGAAACAGCCTTCTCGCCCCAAGTCACTAACAGCTTTAGCTCGAACCCACTCTTTGCAAAGACAGGCCGGCTAAAAAACGACAGGAAACGCGCAGCTTGCGTCAGTTGTCAGAAACGACTCCCAATGCTTGAATCAAAAAGAGTGGGTCGCATGGACACCAGATTGGGAGACCTACTACATTTCCCGCCGACAAGTCAACGCTTGCTCCTCTTGAGGCATCTTAAGACCGGTAAACGAAACAACATCCTCTTCAGTAAGTAGTGAGCAAGAGCATTCAGTGTGTACCAAAGTCAGAGCAATTAATTCAGTGTTATTTATTGACACGACGAAGTACTCGGACCACGAGCGTTGGATATTAGTTTGCGCACTCCATCATGGCATCAGAGTAGACCATGATGCGATTTATTGCGATCGTAGACCGTTCACACACACACACACACACACACACACACACACACACACACACACACACACACACTGCTAGGTAGACGTGCCGTACAGAAAGGAGAAATCAGATAAGACAAACGGTCGCTTGAAAATGGAGAATGTAGTTGTGCTCTAGCTGTGGTATGTTTGACGCTGCTCTAGCATCTATCGCATAGTGAGAAAAGAATCTGTAAGAATCCATAGCGGTATTAAACCTGCATCCTCCTCCCACATCAGTGAGTTTCGTTACGCTGTAAAGCGAATAAAGAAAACGTAGAACCGTAACTTAGTTACTATGGGAGCCAAGCTAATACCAAGCGGGTAGGACAAGTGTTGCATCAATCCTCTTTGACTAATAAGATTGTGATCGACTCGCTTCAAATTACTGGACCGGTCTTCCACAATTGATCGACACCCTCCCTGACCATTCTAAGATAGCGAGGGCATGAAGAAATCTGGATCGGCAACGTGAAGCAGTTGAGAATTGTGATCGCGTATTGAGCCTCAGCTTCAGTTAGACTTGGTAACAATACTTATCGCGGTTTGATGTGGGTTACGGGGCAGGATCCCGATGAAGCGGTATCAATAGAGTAATTAGCTCCATGGCAGTGTGAGGATGGTTAATACCGGTTTCAGACATACAGCATACATCAACTAATGTGGTATACAGTGTGCTAACAATCGCAACATGATGACCAATCCGTCCCAGGTTAGCAAATTAAACAAGGCCGAGGAAAGTAAGTAGTACGGCCGGAAATGGATTTAATATCGAGTATAGTAGTGACGTGGGCTTCAGCAAGACCGAGTATGATGCAACATATACGGGAAGGAAATATAGGAATTTGGGTCAAGAGGGGAACAAATTGAAGAGAAAGGAGAAGTCAACGAGAATTCATCTATGTACGCAGTAGGTGAGCCGATTCCTCTGAAAGTGCGCAGCAGGTGGTTCAGGATAAGGCGGAATTCGACGAAGCAGTCATGAATGTGTGCAGACGAGAATAGCGCTAAAGCCGCAAAACCAAAACGGAGAAGGGCCTTCAACTAAAGCCACTAGCTTAAGAAGCTATACGTGAGCGGTGGCTTCACATAAAGAGATGTCACCACGATTACAATTCCCAGCAGACCGACCTCAGAAGGACACTCAGCATTGATCAATCCGGTAAGAACAGCTCACAAGGCACCTGAAGACAACACTCAGCAAAGTCGGATTAGCAAGTAATTTGGCGCAGCAGGCGGTGGGATCGCGTTCCACAGACGTACATTCGAAGGGGAAACATATGCTCTCAGTGGGACTCAAACGAATCACATAACAGGGTAAAACTAAGAGTGCAAATAAGTAGTCATAGGAGAGCTTTTGAGAACAGCAGACGATTCACGATGATTTGGCGTTAGGTCATAGGACTGAAAGCTACGCAAGGCACTTCGTGAAACAATTATGGTTCCGAAACACGCGCCTCAGTAACCTATCGAATCGGATGCATATTATCAGCCATAAAGGCTGGCTTGCCGAACTACCTCCTCGTGGTGTCAGTTGGGGGGTTCGGGTGTACCCCGTTCCAGCAAAGTGTTCGGCGACAATGTTCCACCTCCGTGGGGTATTGTATTCCAGCAATTGTGCTGACTTCATGGGGAGTATTGGGCCCCTGTTTGGTAATCTACCACACAAAGACGCATGAAGTGAACATTCAATCAGCGCCCCCCAATGGGCACGATTCCCTAAATTCGGCCCGCTGCCTTGCGGGTAGGTTATTTAGCCAAAGGATCGGGTTGGAGTCCCCTAATTCAACTCCCTACTTCGGCTTCGGCAACCGGGTAGTATCACGTCCTCTCACAAAACCATGGACTGTATTACATCGCGCTCATCAGCTGCTGTTCCTGCTACTCACTTTCACGCTACTTCATCACACGCCAATTGTTTGTTTGCTAACAATCCTCACTTTCGGTTACCCGATTCATCTGTTCAACAATCTGGCTGCGATGCCGGTTGCTCTGCAGATCAAGGAGTCCAACCTATGGCTCTCCTTCGTCCCCGATCCTCGTTCCGTCTGGCGTGTTTCAACGTTCGGACACTCATGAGGAATGGACAGAAAGCCGGTCAAGTGCGCACCCTAGAGCCCCTCGATATTGATGTCTGCTGCCTTTCAGAAACCCGATTGCAAGAACCCAGCACTGTGTTTACATTGACGTCCACCACTGACCACGAAGCCAAATATCACCTGCGTCTTTCTGGAGATCCAGAAGCAGCCTCAGCAGGTTTGGCTGGTGTAGGTATAGCATTGAGTGGTAAGGCTGAGGCGGCACTACTGGACTGGTTCCCGATTAACAGCCGACTATGTGCAGTTCGGCTTCAGGATTCATGTAGAATCAACAGGCACCGCGAAGAGAGACGCAACTTGTTTGTGATCTCTGTGTACGCTCCAACTGACTGCTGTGGCGACTCGGTCAAGGACGAATTCTACCGAGATCTACATCAGCTCTTGACTAACGCTAAAAAGTCGGATGTCGTTATCCTTGCTGGGGATTTTAATGCACGGTTTGGCCGCCAGTTACCAAACGAACGCCACCTTGGTGGTCATCACGCGCTCGATGAGAAGCATTCTGATAACGGAGAGAGACTTCTCACATTGTGCGAAGACAACCGTCTGTTTCTTTCGAGCACTAGCTTCAGGCGTACGAAGAAGCGTTCCGCAACGTGGCGTCCCCATTCGCCAACACAACCGTGGTCTCAAATTGATCACATTGCAATTAGCTTCAGATGGCGCGGCAGCGTACTGGACTGCACGTCCACTTGGTCCACTTTCGTTGATTCAGATCATGCTCTGGTCTGCGCGAAAATCTGTATGTGTTTTGGAGGATCCCGAAACACCAAACACCGCAAGATTGATGTAAACAGATTAACTGATTCCTCTGTCCAGGAGAGCTATCAGTCTTCACTGGCATATGCACTGTTGCAATACACCGCAAGAAGTGGAACAACACTGGACTTGTATACGGAAAGCGATGACCATTTCCGGACAGTCATGCTGCGGCCTAACTCGACGCCCCTTGAAGGCTTGGATCCCTGCTCGTTTTCTGGAGCTGTTCGAACGCCGCGAAGATATCCCAGCAGAATCAGATTGCAACGAGCGGCGCCATTCTGCCAACCGGCTGCTCAAGCAAAGCCTACGCAAGGATCGCGAGACATGGTGGTCTGAGCGTGCTTTAGAGATGGGGACCGCTGCCCTCTCTGGCA